TATATAATATACATATAATCAGTGAGGAATTCAAATAAAGCCCAGAGAGGCTAAATAACTAGGACTATTTTACAAAATACTAAATAGCAGGGACAGATTATAATTGGCAGTATTCTTAATTCATAGACTAGATTTAAAAATCATTATGGTTTTTTTCTTTTTCATCCACTCTATACTTCTAGTTGAAAACAATTTAACTTAGAGGTTCAATATGCCTCTTCTGCTTTTTTTTTTTTTTTTATCTCTCTCTCTGCCCCTATAAAAACTACTTTTCTGTAAATGCATGCTGATGTCTAGGCAAATTGAACTGCTGACTGATCCCAACTTTGTAAACCTTCTCTAAGTGGATTCAGCTTCTAATTTACTTCCAGTGTAGATATTTCTCAATGGATCCCAAGCAGTTCCAGGAAACTATGTTTGCACCATGGGAGTTTACTAATTCCTAATTTAGTTAAAATATATGTGATCTCTGTGGGTAAGGATAATTGGAGATTTAAACTAGGAGAACTGCTTTAGTTGTTCTTCAGAAGTGTCACAGAAAGTTCAACAGATGTCCAGTGGGTAAGGATAATTGGAGATTTAAACTAGGAGGACTGCTTAGTTGTTCTTCAGAAGTGTCACAGAAAGTGCAACAGATATCCATTCTCTACAGAGAGGGTGTGTGCGTGTGTGTGTGTGTGTGTGTGTGTGCGCGTGTGTGTGTGTGAATTTCTGTATTGGCAATGCCCACAAAGGTGTTCTATACAGGCACTCATTACCTGGTGTTGAAGAGCAGAAAGCAATAAAATCCTTCTCTATATGGGCTTTCTTAATGGCATCATATTCAAAATCTTCTGGAGCCAATGAGAAGTCGTTTTCAGAACCTTTTGCTGAATCCTTCAACCACACCACCCCTTCGTTCTCTAGAAAGACAAGATTTGACATCTTGTTACTACCAACAGCCAAAAGATTCATTTTCGCCCTTAAGCCTCTGTCCAACTATATTTACTAATTTATTTGTGGCTGTCTTTCATTCATGTACGTGTGCACACCTACATCCCAGGAACTATCTTTTTAACAACTTTTATTTCTATGAACCCTAAATGAATTCTAATGACACTAAAACATCAAAGTCTTGAGACTAAAAGTGGTATCTCTTTAGTTGAAAATAGAATAAATATCTACTAACCATTCATGCAACTCACAGAAGCTACAGTTTTGTTTGGTGACAGTAGGTATTCTTTCATATTAAGGAGCAGGCACAAAACATGGATGGAATTGATGAGGTCAACACTGGCATATCTTGTGTTCTAACAGACATCAGCACTCACCACCACGGCAGGCCTGGATAATGATCACTTTGGGCTTGTCCTTCAAACTTGGACAGTTATAAGTGTTCAAACTTTGAAAGATGGTGTCGATGTATAATACATCGGAGGCTTCCTTAGAGTGTTTCTTCCCACAAATGCCTTCTCGAATACCGTGAGACATGAACACCAGGAACGTGCTGTCAGAGGTCTTGTGCTCCTCGCGGGCAGCGAAGGCCCTCAGCTCTTCCTTCATGTCCTGGAAAGAGACCATGCCATTAATTTTGGACTAGGAGATCCATGATCAGAGCGTCGGGGAATTCAATAAAAAGGCACTTAAGGAATTCCTGGGTAATATAAACATCAATGGAGTACAAAAGATGATTTAAGTTTTAATTCAAAGAAAGATGCCATAGAGTTATAGGATGCCATTTGGGAATTTCTAGTAGAGAGGAAAGGGTATTATTATTTTTTACAGAACAGTTTCCAAATAAAAATTTCAGTAGACTTTTGCTAAAAGACTCTTTGTTAGGAGGGGTGAGAAGCACCCTCCAAGGGCAAATTTAACTTTTATATTATCAAGAAATTAAGTTTCTGGTGCTACAACCAAAAGCTATCTAGTAAAATGAAGGGTGTGGTCATTGTCCCTACATTCTGGAAGACCTTACCGAAGCAGTGAGATCTTCTTTAACATCCACAGTGTATCCCAGATCTTCTAGCAGCATCTTCATACCTCTGATATCAGCATCAGCTCCAGCTCTCCTGGAAAGTTTGTCAAACTCTGTGTTGCAGATAATGAGGGCAAGACGTGTCCGAGTAAACTTTCCCATTATTGGGTAAATCTGTCGGAAATGCAAATTGCATTATGGTCCTGTTCCCTTTAATTAAATATCCATCTTGAGGATATAAGACTGTTTCTCCCACTCTAGTTCTACCCAGAAAACAAATTTCATGAACCATAGTTACAGGAAAGGCAAATTAATCTTAATATAGGAGTTAAAGTAGAACTTACAAATGCCCAGATAACAACTGGTAAGGACTTAATGTGTTTTCTTTTTGAGTTAAGATTTGAAAAAAGAACAGGCTTTGACGCAAGAATGACAGAATTTTAAAACTGACTCCTCAGCTTATTGTTTCTGCCAACATATTTTATCATCCAGTGCACAATTTCCTGATCTATAACATGGGCTATTTTTAGGGTTCAAGGTGTTATTCAAATATGTTTTCTCAACTCTGCAACTTGCTTAGAACAGTATCTGGTTCATAGTAAGCATCCAATGGATGCCTTGGTTGTTATTATAAGTATTTATTCAGGGAGCTGTATCAAACTTAGAACTCAATCCCTAAACCTGGGATTCTAGGAGATAGGAGCCCTTTATGTAAGGGAAGCAGCAGGATGATTTTCTAGAACTTCTCTAGGAAATTAGCTCTAAGAAAGTCCCACTGCCCTTTCAAAGAGTTCCCAGTGTTTCTTTCACCCGGATCCTGTTTTCTGAGCACAGCACCTCTGCTGACTTTTCATTCCATATCTTTTGGGCTATGTCTGGGGGGCAAAGCTTGAGGCTTCCTCCTGGTCCTGGGAATGCAAGCTTAGCTGGGTTGTCTTGCACTGCCTGGGGAGCTGCAACAGACAAGAAACATTATGAGCAATGGCACCCCTGAGTGTCCCGCCAGGTGCTCCTCACAGCGTGAGCCCCGTATGAAGCCACAGAGGAGGAAGTGCATCCTTAAAAGAACAACACTGGCCAACTCCGCTGAGTGAGTCACTGCTAGGGGAACACATTCCACAGAGGAGGTTTCTATGGGTGCCATACAAGAGGTTTCTATGGGTGCCTTTACCTCTGAGGATTGGCATTTTTATAAACATTTTAGATTAGAAGAATAAAAAGGGGTTTTATTCAAGACCATGCATGATAGAACTCTCAAAAACCAATCAACACGTTAGAGAAAATATTTAGGACATAAATTTATTTCAAATGATTTAACATTGATAATAAAATATAATTGAGATAGAGCTTAATCACCCTATTTCAATGTTCTTAAAATATATATGTTTATTTTTTATTTACTTAAGATGCATTAGAGATGGAAAGGAAGAAAGGAGGAAAGGAGGGAGGAAGGGAGGAAGGGAGGAAGGAAGGGAGAGAGGGAGGGAGGGAGGGAGGAAGGAAGGAAGGAAGGAAGGGCTTTTGTTCTCCAGGATCTCTCTAATGTGTGTATGTATGGGGAGGATGAGGAGGAATACTGAATATATTAACTAGAATGACTATGAAATAGAATGATAAATGCTAAAATAAAGATGCATACTAGATGGATGTATAGCACTAAACATTGATTACACCAATATATGAGGAAGAGTTTTAATAGTAATTTATGTGACTAAAGCCTTTAGGTTTATTTTATTACAAATTCAACACCATCCAACAGTGTGATGTACTTGCTAAAGAAGAAACATAATGTCTTTTTCAAAATAAATATATTTCCTCAATATTTGGAAGATCTATCAAAAACTAACTATTCAAACAAGAAAGTTATAAGCAATTTTGAAGGAAAATTTGAAGACATTATCATACATCTAATTAGGCAAAGCAAGGCAGGCTGAAATGTGTTTAATGTGGATAAAGTAAAAAATAATTGGAATTAATTTATTGAAGAAAATTATAGAAATCATTATTAGGTGGGAGAAATATCCTATTTCTTCATATAGGAATCTGAGGAACAATGGCAAATATTAAAGAGAAATATTTGAATTACATTAGAGCTCATTTTTCCTAGTAAAGGAATGAGCATTTGGTTATATAGTGAGTGTCTCCATCCCATGAAATATCTAAGAAAAAATTCATGGGATAAACACCCTTAATAGATTTACTACAGTAATTTATAACTTGGTTAAATATTTGCATCTGTGGCCTCTAAATATCTTCCAAAATTTAGAGAAAATAGTCACTTTCAGCTGAAATACTTCAAGAACTGTGCGTAAAATACTGTCCCAGGACAATAAAACACCGATTATTTAGTAAATAAGAGGCTGGACTCATAAAGCTTAAAGTCCAGTGGGGGACAATGATGAATTTATTTTTTAAAATACAAGAAAAATATAGTGAGATTATGGCAGGAGAATCTTAGGGAACTGTGGGAGTAGGAGCTCTGAACGATAGTAATACAAAGAGAGTGGCTACACAGATTTGGATTTGAGAGAGGAATCAATAAATCTCAGACACTGAATGATAGAGCTGAGGAGGAAGAAAGAGCTAAAAATTGAATTGCAAGTTTCTGGTTTGAATAACTTGGTAATGATGGCAACATAACAGAGAGAAAACTGGAGGAGGACCAAGGTGTGAAGGAAGGCAGATGGCAAGTTTAGCTCTGGATATGTAGAGAAAAAGGGGTCAAGTTTGGCGTTCAAGTGGGTAGTCAGAATCTGAGACACATATTCAGAATCTGTTGGTATAAACATGGTAGCGAAACTGCAGGAATGACCTCTGCTAAAGCAGACTAGATTGAAAAGAGCAAAAGGTATAGGATCAATCCAGGAGAATTACCCATTGCCTCCTCACCCCGTGTTTATCCCATGAATCTGCAGTTAATGTCAAGGAAGATGGGGTTCAAAAATGTTCTTGCTTTGACCATGCCATTACCTGGGAAGGGAAGGATCTCTGCTTGGGAGCCTTGTGTATTATGATCAGTTTTTGATTGTGCACCTGAGGAAAGATAAGGGCCTTAAATTAGTCACTTATCTCTGTTGGAGACTCCCTATTGAAAACAATGTCCCCAAGCTTTGATCTGTTCAAATAGCTGTTGACCTGGAACCACACTCATCACTGAGAAACAAAAGCCTCTCCACATTTATTCCTGGACATTAACATTTGAGGCAGAACAGAAGAGTGCCTGCAGGTGAACCCCTTGATTTCTGCTTTCTATGATGAAAGTGGCACTGAGATTCCATCAGCTATAGAAGCAAGAGTGCTCTTAATATGCATGTTTTAAGGTGGCTCCTGAGGTGACCACTACTGCATAACAGATATATGCAAAGTGAAGCTGTGTGACACAGAGCTGACTTGGATTTTAGAGAAAACCAAGAAAAAGACTTGGACAATCACACTGCCAAGATTTATCGCAGCAGAAAATGATGACGAGGTGACTCACTTCACCATCAACCAGTGTTAAGTTACTTTTCTAAGTGCCATAGATCAGGAAAGTGGTAGAGCCTGGATATAAACACAAATCTGGGCTCTGGTTAACTGAACCACTCTGCCAGCCCACAAAGGGCACTACGGATTTATGCACGTGACAGGGGGCCTGGCCACAGTCTCTGTAATCTGCACTTGCCCTACTCAGTGGCATGCTCTGAGGAAAAAACAAACCAACACTGAAAAGCCTGTTCCACTATTTGGTTGCATAAAACAACTCAAGCCTATTAATGCATCCTCTGAGGTCATGATTCATTATGTTTGTCAATTTCAAGGACAGGAATTACATTTAAGGTTCTTAAAATTTTTATAAGGATCTCAATCTATACATATATAAAAGCATAAGTGACTAGCCTACCAGCTGTTTAACTGGTAGCTATGATGCTAAATTCAGAAGTGAAAACCTCAAACATGAAACAGACTGATGAATCTCAGAGGCAAGGGGGAAGGGGGGAGGCGGGAGGGCGGGAAAGATGAATCTCAGAGGGAAGGTGGGGGGAACTGCAGGAAGAGATTAACTAAAGATCTTATATGCATACTAGAGGCTCAATGCACAGATTTTGGCACTGGTGGGGTCTCTCCGCCTAGCTTGAACCCTCTTTCAATCCAGGACTCCTTGGGAGATGTCAGAGAGCCAGTTTTGGTCTGATTCCCACAAGCCAGGCGAAGGGACCCCACCAGTGCATGAATCCGTGCACCGGGCCTCTAGTATAACAATACACACCTTGGAAGTTTAATCCAGAAATTCTAAGAATTGGCGTGTGCTAACACATGTGAAATACACTGAGTTTTCATCCCATAGTTTACAATTGAAGACAAGATATCCATAGACAAAATATGGTCCAGTTCCCTGCTCTGCATGAGGGAGAGCCATAGGCTGTCCCTCAAAATGCTGAGCCCAAGGTGACAGACTGCAGCTTGTCCCATCCTGCCCATCCAGACTGCTGAACTAACTTAACCATCAGTAAGTTCCAGAACGTTTTCTGGAGGAGA